CTTTATTTTAAAACGACAGCATACAATTCGTCACAATTCAAAACCTTCACCGAAGCATCGAGGGCCGAGGTCCGTTTGGCGGCTTCAATGATTCCCTTCTGGATAGCAGAATCTGAGAGAAAAGTGAGAGAAACAGTCTGAGTTTAGAGCATTCCAAATACCTCTGCCACAGACTCAACTGTTTCCATCATTGCCAAAATAATGTTACGCCTACTACAACTAATATCACAGCCATTACCGCTACTACTTCTACTTCTACTACTACAACTACTACTACTATTACAGCCAATACCGCAATCAAAGTGTCTGCTAATAATATAAGTATTGCTACTACCATCTCCCCAGTAGCGCCACTAATTAAACGACGACTAAAGTGCAACTATCTGTGGCCTTTGAATGTGCTAGTTAACGAGTACAAAGCAGTATTGGGACATGTTAAACGTCTTGTTACAAAACCATATAGGCAGTCGTTTTTTTGAAACACCCGATCATTTGAGCTCGAATTTTTAATTTTTTTACCCAACTTATTTGCTTGAGATATCTGCTGCCCGTTTATCAGGGTCTAAGGAATCCGGTAATTTGCCCTCTGGCTTCTGGTATTATGAAATTCCGCACACTTCTGAGCAGATTCTTATGGGCCTCATTAAAGTAGTTTTTTTCTAACGCATTCTATCTCAGTCAGCAGGACCAGATCTAGCACAATAAAATAGTTAAAATAGACCTCAACTCTAGTTAGTGATAACGGATAAGGCGACAAGCATCCATCATTCATCTGGTGTGACGTACGTGAAGATGAAGCGGAGTTTCTCAGGGTTCTTCTCCTCCTCCTCGGTGAATGGGTTCCGCATTAAAAAGTTGATACAGTCATAATCCGTAAACGTCGACACCTGTTTAATTCCGCAGAACTTGTATATTCCGTAATTCGCTTTTACGACGTATCTTTCTACGAAACAAGCAATATGGCTTCTTAAGACAGTCAGCAAACAAATCAGTTATAAATTAGTTCCAAGTATCTAAACTAATATCCAAGTGAACATATCTGTTTTTGTTTGGAAAAGTAATACAAAATACAGCTTACTGTCCCATTCGTCATACTCCGGATACTGCGGGGTCACATACATTGATTTTAATTTAGCCAAACAATAATGGGCAAAGAATAAGAGCACAAATAGGAACTTCATTTTGCAAGAGTTAACGCACAGGCGACATGACCTCGGAAAACTTTATATACTGGGTCCCGGATGATGAGCGTTAACGACGTTGCATTCAAATTGGGAGAGGCCTTTCGACATTTATGACTAATCACGAGACATTTTCTGACATTTATGGCCATTTTATAGAGTACCTTTTCTTCCTTGGGGATATAAATAATAATTAATTGGAAAGAATAATAAAACCAGGAGACCTTTACTGCTGAAATGAGTTAATTACTTCGCCAGAAGGCACTCTTTGCACTCATTTACTTTAATAACCTGTTTCGAGATTTGAAATTGGAGACGGTTACAGAAGTCCATTTAAATAGCATACGAGTGGCAGCTGTAACGTTTGTCGAATTCTGCCCCTGGTTGAATTATATATGACCACTTGAACCGTATGCCCTCCGTTCATACAGGAAGAGACCGAGCATAAAGTTAAGCTGTGTTTTGTAGTAAAGTGACTCCACTTCTGTGCCCCACTATGACTTTAGGCTAAGTGCGCGTGTAAACTGATTAGAAAAGTCAAACTGTTTCAATTTATTCATTTCACTAATGTTTCTGAGACGCGTTTGTTCATGCAAATTTGTCTACAGCTTATGCTGGGGGTACATTTTGTGCATACGAAAAAGGAATGGAGGCAGCATTGTCTCAGACTTACATGTCTCGGCGAGGTTACGTACAGAATTGTGCAATTATGTAGCGTACTAACAACACAGGTATTAGCTAAAAGTCCGGGCACGCGTGTTTCGCCGATCTTGTGCCACTGCGTGATGCAACTACGAGGGGTTTGGCTCATCAGTGGATCTCCCAGCTTTCCCCGTGTATCTTCTGATGTACGCACTCCAGTTACAACTTGCCTTGCTAAAGTTCCGAGGAAGTTAATGCGCGAACTTGGAGTAAATCATCTGGAACTGACCTTTTCAGGCACGGTTGAAAATTTGATATGAATATTCTAGCTGGAAACCATCAGCTACTGCGTAATTACCACGCAATACTCGCTAACCGCCAACACTTAGTCACAGTATAGAATCCTGTGATTATTTAGCTAATACCTGTGTTGTTAGTGCGATAAATAATTACACAATGCCATACTATTTTCTGCCCGCTAGCGGTTTGTGAATATTACGCGGTTATTCCGCAGTAGCTGATGGTATCCAGCTGAAATAGTCATATTAAATTTCGGACCGTACCTGAGAAGGTCTATTCTCAGAGATTAACTCCAAGTTCGCGCATTAATTCCCTCTGAAATAAACAAGGCACGTTTCCGTACGGTTCTGGAAGCGGCGCATGAGACTGACACTACGTATCAGCCTGTGGCTCTTGTGGTAACAATCGGGAGATGGCAGCCAAAAAAAATCCGCCTAGCCAAAGCAGCCTGTCTTACGGGACAGGTGGTAATAGGGGTTTTATGAGTGGTGGCTGGTCGGGATGTACAATACTAACCGACGGAAAGCCTTATTTGAACAGGTGAAGGATCGAAGTTGGCCCGCTCTCCGTTCCGTTATTAAAAAATGGGTCGCAAAAGGCAGTATAGTGGTAACGGACGAGTGGACGGCGTATAATCGTCTTCCCTCAGAAGGTTATCTACATTTCTCTGTTAACCACTCAAAGATCTTCAAGGATCCTACCACTGGACGGCACACCAATGCCAATGAGACATACTAGAGTAGACTGAAAAGGAAACTGCACGATGGAGGAGCTGTGTGGGCTCACATAGACGAAGTACAGTATCGTCTTTGGTTTGACCTCAATGCCACTGTTTTTGACAGATGCCTGGGAACTGTTCCTGTCCCATGTTGCGCAGACGTATCCTATTTAAAAGTGATTTTTTTGTAATAAACGGTCATAATGCGAATGTATGCCGTATATTCAGGTGTACGTGTGTAACAGCGACCATCGTCCATGTAACCTCCTGAGATGTTCGTTCGGCCAGCCCATGTTAGGCCGTCGCGGAAAGTCCAAGTAGTGCGTGAAAGTAGGCCTACAACCGCCGATATAGCCTGAAGGCGTTTGAGTCCACTGTTAAAGGTATTATTTCTAGGTAACGTAATTTTTGGGTGCCATCTCCCGATTGTTAACGCAGACCCAAACCTAGAGTTCCTTAATGACGGACACTCTGCGCTCTGGATGACAGAGAAAAACTTCAGCAGCCAGATCGGATATTAGGAAATCCACCCTCATGGTAGTGATTACTGTACTGACGCCAACAAATGTGAAAATGACCGGGAAGCAACTACTGAATTGCTGGTCGGTCACTGTTGTCGTTAAAGTTTTAACCCTCTAGACCACTTACTAATTAAACTTTGAGTGTTTTGGGCTCGGATGTGAAGATAAAGTGAAGTGACATTGAATGGCAGTATTTCCTCGCTTGATCCACTCTCGACCTTCCTATGTTTATTTATGAATCGAATAGTTGGGCTGATCGCTGTTTGGCTTCACGTGGTCAGTAGGTTCAGTTTGATTTGACAGTCTATCCAGAAACATGTCTTCACAATGCGACGACTGTTTATATTAAAAACGCCGACTGACGACTACAGTTCCAGATTTGGCCTGATGGGTGTAGTGCTCTGGATAACTTTCCACTATCCAGCCACTAGAGGCTTGCTTTGAACTGGGGTTTTGTCGGCGACAATTAGGAGGTCCACTATTTCGCCCTTCATATTGAATTGAACTGAACTGAAGTAATTGTGCCCCATATCCAGAAAAGATAATCCGTAATAAGTCACGGCAAAACTACTCGCAAGATGCTTTTGGCTGAGATAGTAGACTTAAATAGGCAAGTATTTGAACACGAGCCGCAACGGGGGGTTTTCGCTTGCAGATCTTCCAGAAAAGTGGTCCAGAATGTACAGCTGATTCATCGTTTCCAATCATTCCTGAGTTTGCATTGGCCTGCCTTTGAAACTCTGGTAATGTGGTAGAGTGTAAATCAACGGGCCAACTCCTCAGACAGGCTGGCCTTCCTGTATGTGGAACATTAGCAAGATTCAGGTGGCAGCAACTTGTGCTTTTTAGCCCGACATGCAAGCCCTATGAATATATATGTATATATATATATATTGAAAAGGCATGGACAGAGCCCTTGACGACCTTATTAATATAAATTACTCTGAATACTTGCAGTCAGCACAAAAATAGAAACATTAAGAATAGCGTCAGAGTCAAATACAGCACAAGTAAAAAGGCTTGTTGCTGTTCACTGCGAATCGGTCCGCAGGGGGAGTTATTAACAAGTGTTTTTAAAGGCTGGGCGTTATTAAAGACGAGTTTTCTTGGAGGGTTTGCAATCAGGATTTTTTAAAAGCACACATGATGTCGGCCGCCACTATATCGCTAATTACTAAGTCCCATAGTCCGAATACTCTCTGACCGGAGAAGCATGTTGGAGTTTTAATAGCGTGCGTTCGTTTTTGACCTTGTAAGAATGACCATGTACATGAGTTGTGCGGGCAAGTTCAATGAGATCCTCTGTTCTCAGCCAGCAATTATGGCAACGAACAATCTGCAGAGTTTAGAGCAGGCTTTACCTTAAATATCTGTGAGATAGGGAAAACAGTCAAAGTCAAATCAATCTTGATACAATTTATTCCTTAGACCATCGTTCCCATTGCCCTGCGTCGTAATTATTTGAAGTGGTTAATATCTCTCATCCTCTACGGTATCCAGACTGGCATTCCGTAATCCAAGTAAGACCTCGCGAAGATTCCAAAAATTTTGCACTATGTCCTACAACGATCGTTTGGCAATAATTTGTTGACTTTTTAGCCTTTAGTCAGCGGTATTTATCAGGCCTCCATTAGATAGTAGAAAAAATGGATAAAAAACGTTAAAGTTGCGAAAATTCCAGTAGAGAAATTCGGAAGACTATTTGACGAGCTTACGCGTGGTTGCGATAAATTATCATCGGGCCTGTACATTGCTATGGGAACGAGGTACAAACTGAACACGTGAGTGATAAGTGCAATCGATTATGGTTCGTCCTTCCATACAAACGGGGTATGTGAATAGAGTGGGGGGAGAGTGGGAGAGGGGAGGCAGTCAGTGACGGTGAGAACACCTGCCGGCATGGCTGACGAAGGGGGAGGTTAAGGACATACACAGCTCCATCCTCGCACACGGTTGATTCTGGGCACCGTGTGGATCCCAACGAAGCCTTTTGTGTGATTAAGGTCCCACCTAACCAGCCTAAGTGATTGAGTCAGCGCGTACTAGCAACAGCAGAGGCAGCTGCCATCGGGCTACAGAGGCCGGTCCTGGGCACGCGAAATAACCTATTGCATGTTCCGCGTCTACCGTGGGCCAGGATCGATTAACTGTATGCAGGTCTCAGCGCCCCCCACCTCTTTCCCTCCTCCTTATGACACGGCTCAACCTAACCCTCACTGTCGCTGACTTCCTCCTCCCCTCTGCCCCTCTCCCCCCACTCTTTTCACATATCCCGTTTGTGTGGAAGTACGAACCGTAATCGATTGCACTTATCACTCGCATGTTCAGTTTGTACCTCGTTCCCGCAAACATGTACAGGCCCGATGAGAATTTATCAAAAGTACACGTAAGCTGGCCGAATTCTATTCTGAAAAAATGTTAAGGTTCTTTTAGTATGGCGGTTTACTCTATCACTCTCTGTTATAACACAAAGTTTATTCTGCTCCTCCACAGCTATTCGCATATTCATTTGTGCCTCAAAATGCGAGCGTAACAGAAACGCATAGTAATTCCACCATCGGTAGCCGTGTAGTTTTCAAGTTAAGGTTAGACTTCTTTACCCAGTCACTCTATAGAGTCGTCAGAAACGCAAGGTTCCCAACAAAGAAGAGATCAAATTTTGGTCGGTTCAGCCCACGCCTTTTAATAAAATGGGTCATGTTTTTCATGCTAAAGGCTGTAAAAAGCCAAAAATGCCAACCTGACTTGATTATCCATGAACCGTTAGGTTGTCTTTCGGCCTCAGAGGATGTTTGATGTTGTTGGCGGTTTCGTCGGTAAGGAATGGGTATAGGAACCCCATCTCGGTAATTCTGGCTGCATGAGATATTACCATGTTCTAAATTTAATGCAGCTCTTAGCTCCAACCCTAAAATTAACCATAACTTTAAAATTAACCCCAACTCTAACACTAGTCCTAATTCTACCTAACGCAAACGGTAACTTGAAAACTAATCATAAAGTCTAGGAAATCAGTGAAACCCCAGGAATGCGGATGAAGCCACTACATCTGTGTCCTGCAGTTTGAGTATATGGAAACAACAGCTACAGCTGACGACGACTGACACAGGTGTGGGGAAAATTACCCACGGTCGGAAAATCGAAGTTTGAGTCAAAAGAAACACAATGCGTGCACTCAAAATTCTCAGCTGTTTGAAAGACTTTTTCAACCATCTAACCACATTCTGAAATTGGATGACGCATTGGCAGGAAAGACGGTATTATCCACTTGTGAATGTTACGCCTTTATTTAGCCGAGTCCATCTAAATTGTTAATAGCGAATTTCGAACAGAAGGATTTACTCCAATTCCATACATTAGTTACTAAGGGAACTGTATGAAACCTAACATCGACAGGGAACGCTGGCGGACGCTCTGGTGATCTGAATCCCTCATGTCAGTGCTATGTATTTGCACAAACTGCGCGAAACGTCTTTCTGGGCCTTTACATAATACTCGTACCCGGGAGTATGTGAATCGATAAACCGACTTTAGCCTTCACACAGCAAACCAGGTTTGCAATGAAAAGTCTTGAAGTAAGAATGGGAATAGCTATCTAGAATGCAGCAAATAACTGCCTGGATGAAGTTTCTCAGCTACTCTTGCATTTAAATGCCCCTACGCTTTTTTACCATTAGAAGGTGCCCAATGACCTAAAACCTATATGTGATGCTGCGTTTTCCCCTCAAAGAGCAACCAATTAGATATTGGACTTCAAAACGGTCTGCTGAACATGTCTACAAACATTTAGGAAATTTGACTGGAAAGCTTTCTTGTAGAGAAACAGCAATGGGCAGGCCAGCAGAAAAACTGCAGTACTGGCAGTTGAGAACATACAAATAGGGGGAAGAAGTTGACGGAATATGTACTTTTGCGTTTCGATATGACCCTTGCAAACACCTGCTGTTGGAAGGCTTCGAATTTATTTTTAAAGGTAACTAATGCTGTATAGGCTAATTAATGAATGCATAGCATACAAAAAACAGTGATGCGTTTAGTGACATGGTGTGTCCTATATTACTAGATAAAGGAGTATTCAAGGTGATCATATACCCACGCTATGTCACCGGAAATTATCCGTATATAACTCGGCTGAACACGAAAATATGGATGTCGCGGATAAAAAGTGGCTTTACTCTAAATTTCAAGCGTGGTTAAGAAGCAGTTAGTGTTAGAATTAGGACTGGGAGAGTAAGTATCAGGGCTAAAGTTGGCACAGAGGAACAGGTGCACCCTTGGAATTTAGCTTGATGCCATTTATAGTACTGGCTACCAATATATTCTCGTGTTCGATCGAACTCTCCTTATAAAAAATGCAGGATGAAAATTGTCTTCTTTTTATCCCATTTTCATTTAATGCTCGTGCTGACGTCTAGCATTATTCACATTTTAGTTGTACCTTTCCGAGAAAGTTTTTGCATTTCCTTCAAAAGTAGGCATGAAATATTTCTTATTCTCAGATGCTTAAAAGAGTAAATTCTAGTTACCTTAGCCGTTACAAGCCTGGTGCATTCTCAGTTAACCACGAATGGATTCGTAAAACCAGCCATTGGAATGGCTAGTCACGTGACAGCCAAATTAATACGTATCCGTCAAAGAATTCCAACGTTCGAATTTAGTTACATATTTCTCCACTAAAAACACTGCAAATTCTGATGTTCTAAATTTTATACATTAGTGAGGTCAGAATTATTTGTTCAACCACTTTGGCAACTTTGAATTCGAGACGAAAGACCTGCAGTTGGTTTCTTTAGCTACCCCAAATTGGTGGTTGCAAGGCTGGAGTAGAAATTATTTTTATCCGCTTTGCCCGTTATATGCCCGTTCTGATCATACAATGTCATCCAGGTGGAGATAAATGTTTCTGTCTTTAATCACATTCCTGATATCACGCTTGTCGATCGATCTTTAGCGTGTTGTTTGGAATGACCGACTATCGAACAGTTGCTGCTGAGTTTTATTAAGAATGCGCTCAGTAGCTGTCAAGCACAGCTAAATAAATTAAATTGTCCGATTCAGTTATTATTCAAACAGAAAGACCACCACCGCACTGTAATCCGTCTTGGTTCGGCATAGGAATGTGGATCTGCCGTATTACAGGTGGCCTAGCCTTAAATGCAAACGGATCAGAGTAAGGATTGGGTTTAAGATGGTTAGCATTAGGTTTATAGTAGGGTTTATGCCCAGTACTGTAGGAGCTTGTGTTAAAGATAGGGCTTGCGAAAAGTAACCCCCCGACATTTAATGCAAGACCATCCATAATACTGGAGGGTCCATTTTATTGTGTTCGACAGTAGATATTTCAGATGCGTAATACAGGCGAGGCAGGATGTGAAAAATCACCTCATTTTACCGACAAATGGAAACTGTTTCTGCTTTGAAAATTTTGATTTATAAATTGTAGTTGCTCTTCATCGCAGAACTTAGTGATAGCGAGAACAGCAAATCTTTTGTTTATTACACAAAAACCCCCCTAACGACCGCCGCCAAAATTCCGTTTAAGCATTTATGTACATGATGAGATATTTCTTATACGGTTTAATTTCACTCAGATGGCAGTTCGACAGAGACATTTGAACTGTATTATTAGTTTCAGAACAGTTTCGCCATTTGCTTACTCATTGGTTGCAGCATTATCCCCACAGACTATTGTCTAACATAAGGCGTGGATGACTTAGCCACTTTTTATAGCAAAGGAAAGAAAGTTTTGGTTATGCGACGGAAACTTGTCAGCAATAGTCAAGAAACTATATACAAATGACAAGGCTAATTTGACTTCACCCCTGAACGTTTTTTAGGAGAACGTGAGTGAGAAAGATATCAATCGGCAATATGGCGGGAGCATAATCTCTAGCTTACTCCTGAACAGAACACCAGCCGTTAATCCCAAGTATATGATTTACATGAGTCACTCATAACTCACAAACTAATTGAGGAATGTTTTTTAGACTTTCAGTACAGTATTAATCATAAGACTTCTTTCTAGATACAAATACTACTTGGGTGGTTAAATGCCCAAATTAAGTGGACTTTTAAACATGACGCAAGTTGTTGTGTTGAGAAAATTCACGTAGCCAAACGCATGCCAGAAGTACGGACATTCAAGCAACGTCTGGAGGTGGCGATTGCGGTAGTCACCAACAATGCACTTGACAATACTGGGAGATGGTTTGAGGGCGTCAAGAAAGTCAAAACATTCACTGGTATGCAAAGTGCGATCAGCGGTTTAGACAAATTTGTTGCCAAAATAAGGTGTATCGTAATTTTGAGGAAGAGGGTCTTGATGTTACATAAAAACTGGCATGTCTCCGACTAAACCCAACGTTAATATTCCGATTTCCTGTTCCTCTCACAGCCCGTCAACGTGAGGCCTTATAGTCAGTTACATTATTTCGGCATCAGCATCTATAAAGTCAAGTAAATATAACCTCGGCGTAGTATACCGCATCCTAATGAACGGAAAATAATATATCATAAGCTTGAGGGATATTTTGAAAATATTCGCAAATATCAGACAATTGGGTGGCTGCCTCATTAAATTTTGCAGTACGTCTTGGAGGATATGTTGCTCAATGACTGTCTCATGAGTTGTTTCAAAACTGTTGTACTTCCGTCTTTTATTTACTCCGTTGTCCGCACGGACATGCACTACGAACTTTTACGAATTGCGCTTACTCATGTAACATGAATGTTCGCGTCTTCACATCTTCATTATCATGCAGGTCACTTCTCTAAACCAAAGTTTTATTTTATGCCCCATCTCTCCTGAGTTCTGCTTCAAATGTAAAATAGTCATTGTAGGTAAGGGATTTCGGCCGATAATTTTGGTTGTCATTTTTAATAGAAGGAATAATTTGCAAATTTGTGCGTGCTTCATTAGTTGGATCTTTTGCAAATATGGAAAGAAAGTTCCGTTTTAAAAAGACGCTCATGCAGAACTTACATATTTGATAAAATGCGCTTCCGAATACTCTCTCAGTGTCCATTTTATACTGACCAGCACGATCACTTAGGCCTTATCAGGTGTCCATATTTTTCTAGAGTCTCCGTGAATTTCAAAAAACTGTCCGTTTAAACGATTTTTGACACTTTCTCAGGAGGGTATTTGACTCTTCTGCGTTGTTTATTAACTGTTAAATTTTAATTTATGGTGATTAAATTAGATAAACCCTAGAATAATTTAGTTTACTGGGATGTGTTGGTATGACCTGAGGTATACTGAAGTCAGTGCCAATAACTTGCCAGTGGATATTTCTAGTACCACCTAAATGTTTTATCAACTAAGACATAAAACCTTTCTTCGTGTAAAAAATGGTAGCCAAAAAACGAAATAAATTATGTGTTCATAAGAGTCTTGCAAATTTTGTCATGTCTATTAAAAACACTTATGCATCGCCTACTTCTTTTATCGACAATACGCCAAGGCATTTTGTTAAAGCAATATTCTTGGGGATCAGAAGTGTCAGAACCCGTCAAAGATGTATTGATAATATGCGGGCACGTTATTTCCACCACCGACAAAACTATTACAGTCCTCAGGGGTGAGAGTTGCAGTACCTAAAATGAAAAAAATGTAGGCATGACACTTAAATATATAGATTTCCGAAACATGGTACCATTTAACTATATACAGGCGTAACGTAAGAGATTAATGCTTTTGTTACTTGGTTAGGTTACCAATTCACTTAAGACTTACTTTATCACAGCTCTGTAGGCCTCGCCTCTGAGTTTTTCAAAGCTCTGAATTGGACTTAGAAGATACACGGTCCTGCAGTTGCCCGAGAATTCTGTTTTCGTTTGAGCATACCCATTCAGAGGTATCTTTTCGTTTTTTACAATAATGTACGGATTGGCACCCCCTGTATATCAGACGAAGTTAAAACACGATTTGGCTCGCCAAGAATAACGTCTTTAAAAATCATAAACATTGCAAATAATTGGCTGACATGCATAAACTGAGGCCACTGAAAATGAGATTTTGAAAAATTGAAAAAAATGCAAACACTGTTCGTGCTAAAAGGCAAAATATTATACCTAGTTTTTGCACTTGGTACTCTTTGGCGTACATATAAAGCCGGCATTCACAGGTGACAAACAGTAGGCAGAAGAAGCCGAACAAGATCATGTTTTCAGGACTATATGTACATTCGCAGCTACTCTTATATATGCGTGCATATGTCTGTGCCTAAGATTGCCCAATTCAAGCATAAAAAGCACTTATCGCAACTAAACCAGAAGTCATAAAGCAGTTAACTGCCAAGAAGCATGCAATGCCTTATGGTAGTGGCGATTTTATTGCGTCTCTGACAAAATACAGACGAATAATCAGTCAACGATGAGCAAGAAACTTTTTTACATTGCGTGACCTATCTTATGAAATGTTGGCTGAAATTCTGAAATTCGTTTTTGATTAGGAAGGATTACTTGGTCGCGGTTGTGACACTGATTATCTTAAGACGCACTCTTATAACATTTTGGAATCGGCAGGATGTCGGCTTTTAACTGCATTTTTTTTCAATCTCCTGTAGGAAGCGTACCCGGTAAAAAATGACTACTTTAGTTGCATGCATTGTTCCCATTGATTTTCGATGGTCGTGTAAATTCAAATATATTTTATAGAAACCACAAACAAAAATATACTTTCTTTTGGTCAGTCAATAGAGAATTAAGTCTTTTTCCTAATTCTTACTTAAAAAGGAGAATAATTAGGTTTTAAAAAGTTTTCTAATTGCCGAATAATTTAGAGCCTGATCTTTCGTTGCATTAGCGCTAAGTGATTACACTCTACAAGGTGCATGCTTTCCACGTAAAGAAAATCCCATATTTTTCTATGTCATTAAAGAGATATCATACAGGGTCCATAAACTTTTGCAATAAATGCGGACCATGATGTACATTTCATGAGGATCAGTGGTAAACGGCCAGGTACAATGCAATGTGAATGGACATATCGCGGTCTTAAAAAGTCTCATAATAAGAAACTTTTTAAATACCTAATTAGTCTCCTTCCTTAAGTAAAAACATAAAAAAGACGTGATTCTCTATTGATTGACTAAAAGAAAGCATATTTTTGTTTGTGGTTTCTGTAAAATATATTTGAATTTCCGAGACCATTGAAAATCAATGGGAAAAATGCATGCTACCTAAGTAGTCATTTTTTGCCTAGCACGCTTTCTATACGAGATTGAAAAGAAGTGCATTTAAAAGCCGACATCCTACCAAGTCCGAAATGTTATAAGAGTATGCCTTTGGATAATCAGTATTACAACCGCGACCAAGTAATCCTTCCTAATCGAAAACGCATTTCAGAATTCCAGCCAACATTTCATGAGATAGTTCACGCACTGTATATCACACGTCTGCAAATAAAATGGGCTTTGAACCTACATGTTGCTAACCAGTTACATGAATCAAGTCATACCGGTTGTGCAGAGGAATTGCAAACACAGGTAGGAAACAAATAGCGAAAGTAAGAAATAGTAAGTTGGTGGGAGTAAGTCTGTAAAGCGGCCACAGAGTACCTGTTATGCAAAAGGGGATACTGTGTAAGCATTCATTTTCTTAGCACGGTGAGATATGTCCTACTGCTGTTGGGGTTAGGCGTTTTTGTTTGCGTGGCCTCTGCGAAGAATTTTAACTAATGGAGTTCTTCATTCAATATATTGACTATCTTTGTCTGTTCTTGACAATGTTATTTGTTGTTAATCTCTCACTGCCTGAAGGAGTGCAGCACAGTTCTTATAGTTGACGTCGAGCCGATGGTCAACAACAACAACAACCGCATGACATACTTTGTCAATCTGAATTTCAACACATTTTGCTACAACCAGACGGCCTTTTGAGGCCTTTATCCATACTAAAAAACCCTAAACTTGGGATCGGTAGTATATGAATTACGCGAAGGCACTTTAAGTGATCAAAAGAATGTACACAAAATTACGACCTGGCTAAAGGCTGCACGTCGTTTAAAAATCAAAGAACAATTAAGATACTTATGGCTGCTGTTATAATATTATAACCAACAAAAACGACCGGGCATAATTTATCACTATTTATTCTACACCCAACTTGCCGTTGATACTTCGTCTAAGGAAATTGATCGGCCTGTCTTGAACCCAGCCAGTCCGTTTGCATTTTCATCAAATTTTGCCGCTCAACCCGATTGCTAAGCTCACAGTATAGGACCTTCAATTGCGTAGTTCATCCTGTTTGTGTCTGAGGCCTTTTATCATCGAAGACCCTACATTAGTTGAAAACTGTAAGTGTGACTTTAAACTAAATAGGAAGTTATTTTCAATACTTTTACTGGTTTGCTACAGGATATCAACTCTAATACGTCACTTCATAACACGTAAGACAAATGAGAAGCATATACCAATTTAAAAAACATCCAGTTTACTGTTTAGTGCACACAGATTAATACAATGGGTGGGCTAGCTCATGAAATATCAACCTAAATTCCGAAATGCGTTTGCATTTCGAAAAGATTAATTAGATACGGTCGTAAAGCTAATCATCATGCAGACTAATTCTATAACAATTCAGTTACCTTAGGATGCCGGCTTTCGAACGAACCTCTTTCCGGCTGCATTCAGAAACTATACTTTGTAAAAATGACTACTTATGTAGCATGCATTTTTGCTTGATTTTCGGTTGCCTTTAAAAATTTAATTATATTTCATGGAAAACATGCATAAAAATATTCATACACTAGCTCATTCAGTAGATATTAACGTCTTCTCTCGATTTTATAATGAAATGAAGGAGATAATTTGGATTTCAAAAACGTTTCCGCTTCTCGAATAATTTTGTACAAGACCTGCCGTCACACTTGCATTCTGGACTTCCAAACTACAAGCCGTATATTTTCTGCGTACGGAAAACCATACATTTATCTACGGTATTAAGAGGAGACTATATGGGATTCATAAAATTTAGCAGTGGATTTGATCCATGTTGGTAACTCTACACGCCATACTGGTAAATGCAGAGATATGACGTTTTATGAGCCATTTCCCGATATTAAAAAGTCTCACAACTAGAAACTTTTTGAAAACAGAATCATACCCTTCCTCCGAGTATAAAATTGGAAGAAGATGTAATTTTCTAGTGAATAAGTAAAAGAATGAATATTTTATGCACATATTTCATGAAATATAACTGAATTTTTAAAGCCATCGAAAATCAATGAGAAAAATTCAGGCTACTTAAGTAGTCATTTATTACAGAGTGTAGTTTTTGCATGCAGCCGGAAAGAAGTTATTTCAAAAGCCAACATCCTGAGGCAACTGAATCATTACAGAATTATGCTGCATGGTGATTACTTTCACTACCCTATTTAATTAATCTTTTCGAAACCAAAACCCATTCCGGTCGACACTTCATGAGTTAGCCCACCTACTGTAAGAAGATGGGATAAATTAAAACGTCATTTAGGAAAGAAAAACGAGGAAGAGTTAAGAAACAAAAGAGGGCATGCGAGCTGAAGGACCGCCTCTCACCTGGAGCACGAACAATTCCAATTGTTTAAATAAATACAAACTAATTAACGAAGTAACAATAAGAATGTTATTCGCTTCAACAATTTTGATATTTTATGGGTCACCTAGAAAAAAGGGTGTCATCGAAGTTGTATATGCAAACACCATACGGAAGACATGTGGGTGATATATTTGCGATTGTAGATAATAACGGAGATGCCGAAGACCCACATATTGCCATGAATTTCCCGCACCCGAAAATTAAATTCATAATAAAAAGGAGAAGAGAAACAAACTATCTTTGCTGGACGTCCTCATGCTAAGACACAGAAATTATTCAATTAGACAGTCGATTTTCTGTTTGAACACCCTAGATGGTCAATGCTTACCGTTTCTAAGCTTTGTACCGGGATAACGCAAGGGAAACCTAATGTAAGCTCTTTCTAAAGCAGCAAGACACGTTTGCTCCTTTCAGCTAGTAGATGCCGTAATTGCCAGTCACAAGACAACGTTGCTGAAACCTACCTCCTACGCACGTTTCATCCCCACGTGAGGCGACTTCTTATGGCCAAAAGTGACGGAACAAGCAGTTTCCAAGGAAGGCCGTTGTAATATTCTTACCCTTTATGTATGAGAAACTTTTACACAACATTAAGAACGACTAAATGAATGGAAAATACGACCAAACGCACATTCATCCTTCCATCTAAAGTTATCTTAATTCCATGAGTGAAGAATTTAGTGCCATCGTGCGCCGCCTCAAACTGTGGATGCAAGTACGCTGAGCGAACCAAAAGCCAATTGACAGCCAGGCTAATGCATCATCTCCCTAGATGACTTTTAGAGCAGGTAAAAACCGCTCATTTTGTGTCGTGAATTACCCCCTAGATTACGGTTAACCCGTGGTTCCCAAAAAATCTTTCCAAGTACTTGTTTTGTTTGGGCATGAGAAACTCAGTCAATGCACTACTTGGTGGCAACCTACATACGGCGGGAGAAACCCAATCTATTAATCAAATAGCCCATGTGGCCAATCTCAACTTTCGGTTTACGCATCATCTTTTGTGCGTTAACTTTCTTCCTTTATCTCTCCTAAATTGAGTTTAAACTTGCCTTCTTCATTGGTTAGTCTAAACAATGGCTTTGTTGACTTGCATCGATTTTGTTTACAAATTTGAATTGTTCTTTGCTTCTTATTTGTCATTTGTTTTATGTAGTGACAACCTGCAGACGATAATCTGTGCAACATTTGTTTGTATCAGTACATTCTGCGGTCCATGATTGTTTTAAATTTGTGTCGGGCAGAAAACGCACAGCGAATCATTGTAAACTGGCAGACAGAAATTCCTGTTTTGCCCATAAATTCTTCTGTCAAACCAAAAGTAATGTCTTCTGAGGGTATAACCGCTCACCAACGACTGTAATCCTATGAACAAATTCAAATCGTCAGGATATGTTTGTCACGAAATAACCCTGGATCGGTATCGAATTTGCTATCTGGTAGCCCTTATCCTCCACAGTAAGTGGACATTTTATATAATTTACAGCTTACTGGTGCACGATCCGCTCAGTCCGTCCTTTTTTAGCT